GCAGGTATAAAACCAAATTTTTCGTTCAAATTCGAGAGCTCTAGAGACCTTGCTCAAACAACAACAACTTATCTCGAGTCTATCATGAGATCGGATGCGGCATTTATACAGTGCTAGACATGTGCTTCGGCATTACAGCCTCATCAGGAGCACGGTGCTTTTCTGGTCAAACAATCCCAACGAAGCCGCGGTGAACTTCAAATAAACGTTGGCTAACTACTGCAAAGGCAGAACATAATTTTACTTCCGTTGGTACAGCCTACCATGAAGGTTTTCTCCCATATCGAGCTCAGTATCGAAGCTCGTATTTATGAGATTATTGAAGACAATATAATTATAGACATTGTATCCGAAACCTCAAAAACAGCTGGCTGTATGTTCCCTTTCAAAAAGACGTGCTTTTTTGGAACAGAAAATTTTTAGATACATGACCGCCTTTTCACAAAAATTATCCTTACGAAAGCCCCTTCTGTGATAACCCATCTTTCAACAATGACTATGTCTTCTCAACCCCACTTTATCAATTAAATTGCCTTATATCCGCTATGGAACGCGCCAGCTGTACCAGGTTGTAAAGAGAGTTCTAGGGCACTTTCTTGAGCATGAGATAACTCCGACGCATATCGGGAATATTATAGTTTCTTACATGGGATTTTCCGCTGAAGGCCTAGATATTACTTGTCTTTATTTCCACGTTGCTACAAGCCTCCGAAATATATAACGATACATTCGAAGTTCGGTTTCAACACTTCTCAATACAGGAGATCTTGACCTCGAAGACAAGCTTCGTTTAGAACGTCCAACAACGTTGAACAACGAAGATCTGATCGATGTTTCGGAACAAAATTCGCAGAGTTCTTTGATTCGAAGTCGAAGGAAGGGTCAGCCACAAATGCGTTAGAAACCGGTTACACACATAGGCCACTATGAGACCAAGAATTTTCGAGAGGATCACATCGAAATCAAATAATCACTAAGTGGCATTTGATTATTCTCTCTTTGAAAATGATAAGAAAAGCATAGAAAACTAATCTTTATTTAGAGCTTCACGAGGTTGGTATCTTTTTCCCAATCGATTGTTCTTCTTTCCGGTCGATGGGTTTTCGCGTTTGCTTGTGGCTGACGTTTCGGCGAATACGCCTTCTTCAGAGCCTGAACGTATCAATCGTTGTAGCGTTATTTATATGACTATATACTGTGAGAGAGAAAAAAATAAATAAATAAATAAATTGAAAATCTACGGTGTTAATAAGCGATAACTAATTCGGGGAAACCACTCACCTTACCATCTAATCCAGGGACTACCTATGTTGCTAGCGCCAGGGTGACGTATGAGCCCGCCCCCCGTGTCACTAGGTCAAATTATTGATAGGTGTCAGCTGGGACCCATGCTAGAATATCAATCTGAGATAAGGTGCCATGTGGTAGGTGATGTTAAGGCACTCTCCCTTTTTGTTCATTTGCGGGTTTCTGGAATTTATCCAGAAAGCTTCAAGGGTCTTTCGCGCCGATGTTTTTGGTTCGTGCCCCAAGATTTTGACTACTACCTCGAAGTCGTCATCGTTGTGTCTTTGCATCCTGTGTGTACCTAGAGGTTTACTTGGGTCTTTATTTGTTTTTCCGTCTAGGTGTTCTTTAATGCGGATGTGAAGTGGTCTGCCTGTTTCGCCAATATATTCGCCACCACATGTCTTACATGAGATAAGGTATATTGTACCTACGCTCATGCAATCGCCGTCTCTACCGTTGGGACAAATAACGCAGTCCTTTGTATTACACAGACGGTCATACAAGCGGTTTCGAACTAATTGACGACGCAGTGTTTTAGGCGGAATTTCTACAATTCCTACAGAATCTTCAGACCACTGTTTTTTAGACACTTTCTAATAGCGGTACTGACTTCGTCTGTTATGAAAGGTAGTTTAAGAGGTACCTTATTGCTTAGGTGTGGCGCCCTGTCGTTCCCATTGCGAGGCTTTTCGCTCCTTTTGGGCCTAACGTTAGTTTTTGTTTTTTCTTTGTACCCATTAGAAATGGCTATTTTTCGCGCTAAGTCTAGTGATTCCTTTCTTTCATCGTCTCCCGTACAAACACTTACAGCTGTTCGATACATATTTCGGATAAGTGCCTTTTTAGTATGTGAGGGATGGGAAGAAAGGTGATGTACCAAGATGTTTTTGTTACTAGGCTTGCGATACCATTTTGTGCTGTAGCCATTTCATTAAGTTGAACTTGAACGTTCAAGAAGGGAAGCCAGCTCTCTGAATTTTGTTGTTCTCGCGTCAACTTAATAAACTCTGACTGTCCGTTCAAGATTTCGAAGTAATTATCCATCTCCTCTTGTGTAGAGCAGATGATAAAACAATCGTCTATATAGCGACAGTAGAGTATTGGACGCCGATGGAGAACTGGAGCTTCCACTTTTGACATAAAAGCGATGGCTAAGCTGGGTGCTAGTCTTTGCCCCATTGCCAACCCTCTAATTTGAGCGAAATATTTTCCCGACCACCTAAATATCGAACAGCTTAAACATGACTTAAGGAGTGTGACAAGCTGTTGAACCGACAAGCCAAACATATCTACGCTTTTGTATGTTTTCTATCAGCAATTCATGAGTGGCTTGTATTGCGACGTCATTTGAGACGTTTGTATAGAGCGCTGTAACATCAAACGACTCCATTACATACGTATGAGTTGGACGCGCATTTTTAAGGTGCTCTAGGAACATATTGGAAAACTTTCATTTTCAAGTGCGGTTCTTGCGTCTCAAGTAGCTGCAGCAGGCAAATGGGACAGTTTTTTCACAAGAGAAGACCACTCAAGCAAAAACTCCTTGATAAAATCTAGTGAGATCGAAAACTCTGAATATTTAAAACATAACAATTCATATATATTGTCTGGCACCCTAATATAACATAGTAGATATATGTCTGATAACTATTTTTGGGCCAGCATGTCATGTAATATTTTATGGGCAACTTATAGAGTCCGATGCACGTGCTTCGATATTGACAGCCTCGTCAGTCGGGTAGTGTCCTTCGTCTTAGCCAATCCTCTCGAGAGTACTACATCCCTTCTACATAGAGTAGGAAAACGACGTAGCATTTACACTTGCCTTCAAGATAAAAAAATAGCTAGATCGGCAGTGTTTTCACATAACGATTGCTCTTGAATGGTAGTTACGATATACCATGCTTCGGTTTCGAGCGTTTTCTTAAAAGCACACTCAAGTTTCATTATATCTGATAATCGGGCTCTATAAGTTGCCATAAACGGACATGACATGATGGCTCAAAAATAATTTACAAACCGCTCTTATCTTTGGATTATTAGGGTAATGAAAAACTTCGTTGTTTTTCATGAACAAAGCAAAGATTCCACCTTATTTGTGAGAAAACGTAATATCGAACACTGTAGTTGACGAAAATGGGAGTAACAATGTCATGGTTTTTCGTTTCGAGTGTTTCTCAAGACCACGCTCAAAGTTCAGTATACCTGATAATCATTTTTTGGGCGATGCATGTGGTCTCTTTTAGAGGGCAACTTATAGAGCACGATACACATGTTTTTGACCTTGACAGTCTCATCAGCCGGACGACACCCTTCGCCTTTATCACAGATTTTATTTTCAGAAAAATATACAAAATATTAGAAATAAAATCTAAACTGAGGACAAGGATCCGCCCGACTGATGAGAGTGTCGGAGTCCAAACACATGTATCGGGCTCTATAATTTGCCCTATAGCAAACCACATCCAAGTCTCAGAAAGTGATTATCAGAAATATCACGGTTCTTCACGTAATATTGAGCGCTGTAGTTAACGAAAATGGGCCAACAATCATGGGTTCTCCACTGTGCACTGATACCATCTACAAGAATTTCTATCTCAGCGCTATTTTAGCAGTGTTATATTGTTATAATCACATATTCATTGATTATAAGTAATGTGCAAAACATTTTACATCGGACGAGAGATGAACCAGCGTTTCACGCAATTTCGAGCGAGCTTAGCACCACTACACCACCGAGGCCTCCATTCTGCTAATACTCTTCCTTCGACATATTTCATCGCAACTGCCAGTGACCATCCTTTGAAAAATTTGGCCTGGTCTGTCAGTTCAACTAGATTCAATGCCAATATGTGATTACTAGATTAAACTAATCAAAGTTTGGCTGCTGATATCTACGTTGAATTATATCGGAGAAAGAGCGGTGCACAACCGTTGCTTCGATGGTGCGTGGAAGTTCGCTCTACCGGTAGGTGAAGCACGTGTTCAACTATCTCCTCGGGTGAAGTAAATGTTTTGCATCTCACTCTACATCACTGGATATATGAAAACGTAATTGGTTCATTGCATGCAAAGAGCTGTGAAAAGTTGGCTTAAGACCTAGTACACAATAATTGAAATTTCCCCGGGAATGTGCAAGAAAATCTAATCTCTACTCGCTATAGCAGTCCTAATTACTCCGCTGTTGAAACTGCCCTTATTAATAAGCTGGCAGCAAACTGTTGTTTCGAATGCTTAAGTGACTCCCTAATACTTCATGAAACATGCACTTTTTGGTTATAATGGAATAGACTTGTAAGTTAGAAGAAATAAAGTCCAAAGCAACGTTACTGCACCCTTTGTAATAACTCGTACATCGCCACATAACTTCAACAATGGCGAGTCAATGCACTGGTACGCTATAAAAAGTTTCACATCAAGCAAAATTCAAATCTACATGAGCAGAGCCCAACTGATGTCCAGTTAATCTTCTGAATTACTCGAAAATCGCTTCAAACGTCCACTCTCGAGTCACTGGACTGTATTGTTACCGACTATGTCAAATGCACAAGTGATTGAGTCTTAATTATGGTGCGACCGATCGAAAACGGTAAAATATAGTTCAGGATTCGCAAAGCTCCGAAAAGGAGTCGAATCGCCCTCAACCACTCAACGTTGCGCTACGAGGTCGTCGAATGCGAGTAAACACACTAATGAGCGAGCAAGACTCTCGCAGCGAAAAGGATTCGAACCTATGCGGGTAGAGCCAAATAGATTTCAAGTCAATCTCCTTAATCACTCAGACATTGCTGCACCCAACAAAGATTCCGGACTGAGAACACTTGATTTCAAGTCAAGCTCTCATCACATTGTGCACGACACGACAGGTCCACGGCGATAACACTGCCTCGCCGAACATGGCGAGGAGTACGTAGTGCCGAGTACTTAGCGATGCCAGCCGTCGGGAAAAGGTGGCTGATTCGGTCACCCGCTAGAGCGTTATGATGTTCTTTCTTCGTTTCAATTATTATTTGAAGTTCTTCTATAACGTGATTATTATAGTAGAATAAAACGCTCAGTTGTCTAAAATTTCACTGCATTTTGATACGAGACGTAGAACAATGGGGTAACAACGCATATCCAACTATTTTGCGCTTCTTTAAACGACGTTGTGAAAATTGAATTCAAATTTTGGTTTTTTCTCTTATAATGTGACAAATGAATATTCCATTCCATTTAGTGTGCAGGAACTTTTCATAGTAGTGTTCAATATGATTCAAAGGCTCAGACGTCTGACTAGAGCCGTACGTGGCCGTTTTTTGAAAGGACACTTCCTCAACGCTGTAGATAATATATATATATATATATATATATACATATATATATATACATATATATAATATATATATATATTTCACGCCCGCCGCACGTCTTCATTTTTGCCACACGTATAATTTCTGGAACCACGAAAAACATAGGAACGTGTAGAGAAAACCTCGTGGTATCTCAATTCAATAATTAAATTCCGTGTTTCTTTCACAGCGAAGAAGAAACTCCTGACTGATTAACAAGTTGCGCTCCACATGTCCATCGCTTTAGGCCATCAATCGATCACTCCGCCTCTAGCCCGTAGATTAACCGATAAACAGGCCATCGGATATGTGTAACTTGATTTAATTTTCTCTGTTAAACTGCAGTGAGACATTCTTTCAAGAAAATAGTCACAGCGTTAGAATAATTGAATCTTACGCAATTGAATGATTACTTATAGTCTGAAGAAAGCTCTGTTCGGCGAGGTGTAAAGCACAAATGTTTTCTTACTACTACAGCGCTCTCAAGAAAGCATTCTAAAAAGCAAATACATTCTTGAGTTCTTAGAGACTTGTGCTATCACAAGGGTACTAGCAGTCCAAAGGACGAGTTTCGCCCAGCTAGATACAAGGGAGACAAAGAGAAAAAAGCGTGTGCTGTATGTAAGACAATTTCATTCCGGATGCTACAGCGTTATGAAAAGACTTCTAGAAAAACGGACACGTGGGACACTAGCCAGAGATTTAAATTCCCCAATGATTGCTAACATTCCCATGGAAATATCTTGCTCAGCGAATGAGCTCAATTATCTAATGGATTTATGAAAACCGAGAAAACTTTTCTTGATTAGCTCACGCGAGTTTGGTAAATTAGTCGTAGTAATTCGGCTGACTTTCGACGACCCGCCTTCTTCAGAGCCTGGGCGTATGAATTATCAGACTATTTGAATGATTCGGAGGATCCCATTTGTATACCGCCTAGGTCAGGTCAGAGATCAAACGAAGAAAGGGCACTAGGTCTCGTGTGATGGTGAGGCATTCGTTCTTCCAGTTCATTTTGGGGTCTTTGGCGTTTATCCAAATTGCCTCAAGAGTTTTGCGCGTTGATGTCTTTGATTCCTGCGCCAGAATAATGACAGTCCCATTAAGATCTTTAATACTGTTTTTCGCCCTATGTAAGCCCAGAGGTTTGCTTTTATCGATTTTACACTTGCTATCTAGATGTTCTTTTATGCGGATGAAAAATGGTTTACAGGTTTCGTCTATTTCTTCCCCGCATGACTTACATGTAATCGAATAAACTGTGCCTAATCTCATACAATCCTCCTCTTTCGCGTTAGGGCATATTATACAGTTTTTGGTGTTGCACAATCGATCGTAAAGTCTATTGCATATCAGCCTATGGCGTGGGGTGGGGGTTGGAATTTCAACAACTACTACGGAATTTTCAAGACCGCATCTTGTTAGGCAGCATTTAACCGCGCTACTGATTTAGTTTGATACAAATGGCAGTTAGCAGGGGATTCTATTTTCGGGCCTGGTTCTATTTCATGGTTTTTTCGAGTTTCTGATGTTTTGTGGCCATTGGAACTGACTACTCCTGCCATGTTTAGCAATTCGTACCTTTCCTGTTCTCCTGTGCACACATTTTTAGCTGTTCGAAACATGTTTTTAATGAACGATTTTTCCATGTGTAAAGGATGAGAGAAATGGTAATTGGCTAAAATATTTTTATTACATGGTTTTAGATATCATTTATACTACAGCACTATCTAAAATGTTTATATGGATGTTTAAGAATGGAAGCCAGCTCCCGTTTGGATCGTCAATTTTATATGCTCTGACTGTCCGTCCAAGACTTCAAAACATTTTGTTTATTTTCTCTTGTCCAACTGCCATTTCTATCAATAGCGCGGTTAAATGGTGTCTAAAAAGATGCGGTCTCGAAAATCCCGTAGTAGCGTTCGATATTGCAACACCCACCCTACGTCATCAACTGATCCGGAATAGACTTTACAATCGATTGTGCAACACTGCATAATCTGCCCTAAGGAAAATGAGGAGGATTGTATTAGATTGGGCACAATTTATTCGATTACATGTAAGCCATGCGTGGAAGAAATAGATAAGACGGGTAGACCACTTTCCATGTGCACAAAAGATTGCTAATCTATGCTATCGATAAAAGCAAAGCTTAGATTTACATAGGGCACAAAATCACAGTAACAAAGATTTTGATGTGACTGTCATAATCCTAGCACAGAAATCGAAAACATCAACGAGCAAAACTCTTGAGGCTTATTGAATAAACGCCAGAAACCCGGAAATGAACCGGAACGACGAATGCGTCACCATCACACGAGACCTAGCGCCCCTTCCTCGTTTTCACATAACCTGAAAGTAGACTAATACTACATACGCCCAGGCACTGAAGAATGAGGGTCGCCGAAACGTTAGCCAAATTAGTACGACTAATTTACCAACCTCGCGTCAGCTAATCAAGATAAGTTTTCTCGATTTTCATATTTCAATCAATTATGCCGAGGTTTATAGAAAGTTAAACTTTTGAATATTTTATGGTCGCCGTCTAACAGAAAAGTGCTTTGTTTTTCCAGAGTATGGTGTGTTTGGCAGTGAACTATGTACTACTTTGATTTCTCACGTTGCACGCAGCGCAGTCACTCAGAAGACGTGTTGTTATGAGACGCACGTTATTGAATAATTGGTAGTAAATAAGTTATTCAATTGATCACTTGTTTGCGGTGTTACTACTTGAGATGAGGTATGTCGATGATTTGAGCGTATTTCATTGAAAACAAGAAGATACCATGAAGAAAATTTCAGTGCAGTGTCGTAGCAGGAGATCGAACCAGCACCCTCACTTCTGATGGACGGCATCACGATGTACTCGTCGCTGCGGGCTGCCGTGCCCAATCCGTTAAAGCACACAGACATCGGCACACAAGTTCAATGTCGCTGACTGATTATACTGGCGTGTAACCAAAAGTTTCGCAGCGAGCAGGATTCGAACCTACGCGGGCAGAGCCCAATTGATTTCGAGTCAATCTCCTTAACCACTCGGACATCGCTGCACGAAGTGGATTTCACAGGCCGACAACACTGGAGTGTAATCAAGAGCTTCACAGCGAGCACGATTCAAGCATATGTGTGCTGAACCCAACTGAATTCAAATCAGTGTTTTCAACACTTTGACAGCGATCTGGCGTTGGTCTCTATTATTACGCCTTGCAATGGAAATTTGGGAATTAGTTTGGTTGTCTGAGGTACTGAGGGGTTATCCTGATTTAGTGTCGAATTATAATAGAAAAGACTTTCATAAAAAGTTTCATAGTTAAGGGAATGCCCATGTATAGAGAAGTCATCTATGTTTCAACGAGAAAAACACGTTATTATGAGAGGGAACATATTTCCAGCTGTTATATAACTGTTTTTGTAGTCATTCGATAGCTTGAGAAATGCCTATTCTCCCACTAGGTCTGTTTTGTGAAATGACGCTTATTTTACTTTGTGCTAACGAGAAAGGCTAACGTTTCGCAAGCAGAGTTCGTGCTAATCAGTATCTTTCTTTTCCCTCGACATTCGAGATTTTAGGAGAAAGCGTAGCCATTGCTCTGTTACAGATGACTTTACCGATCTCTCTTCTATCATATTTTACCATTCCCTGGCCACGAATTTCCCTCTAATGACGATAAAAATCCACACTCCTTTAGAAAACTACCACAACGTCATCGTAGCCACCGAGCTCGCCGCGTGATGGTGCCGCATGCCGCGCAGGACTTCACCGCCGTTGTCAACGTGTTACCCACTCTGACATCGTAGTTCAAAAGTAATTAATAGGCATAACGAACTTTGAACATAGTCTTAAGAAAAAAGTATGAGCGAATGGTGTGATTCTCCACTCTGACATCGGTGTTTAGTCTCGACGTCGGCGAGTCAACACACCGGAGCGTAATCAAAACTTTCGCAGCGAGCAGGATTCGAACCTACGCGGGCAGAGCCCAATTGATTTCTAGTCAATCTCCTTAACCACTCGGACATCGCTGCTCAATACCAGTTTTTGGCCTTTGCTGTATTGTGGCCTAGTTTACCTTATGCAGGAATGATCAAGTTTTCATGATATTACCATTGGATGAAAACAGCTAAATGTATCGCAGATTCGTGAAACTCAAGAGGCAGTGATATACTTTCGTTCGACAGTATAAAGAAGTGTGAAAAACTTAGCTGTTTTAGCCAGTGTGAGGTTGGTACAACGACATTGTTGTTGTCGCTGTTGATATTGACTTGAAATCGTAGTACGAGTAGTTGGCTGACGTTTCGAAAACTACTAGTATTGCTCGTGCTACTCGTACTCGTAATGCAATATAGAGTCAACATCAACAGCGGCAACAACAACGTCGTCTACCAACCTCTCGTCCGCTAAAATAGCCAAGTTTTTTATACTTTAAGAATTAACTTTGACACCGAAGTTAATAGAAAGTCGAT